TATTAAAATTAGTAATATAATAATATTTTAATTTGTTTTAATTATCAAGCTAAATTTGTTTTAATTATCAAATTAAATATTATGTTCTTTTATTTGTTAATTACAACAAAAGATAATTATTTTTTTTAAGAAAGAATTAAATATATATATATAATGTGATCACACAACAATTGTTAATAAATAATCGAAAAGAAACTTTGAAGGTCATTGTGACATAAAAATTTTGATATTAAATATGTATATGTGTATCAAAACTATATTAATTTACAAATGAGATATTTTAATTAAATTATTCTAATAACATGCTTTAAAAAACAATACATTATTAACGAAAGCGTACTAAATATCATTTACTGATAATATTTTTCCAATGGTAGATTTGATAATTACATGTTATATAATTTCTGATAATGTAAATTTTAAAAACAATTCATTATATTGTAGTACATTTCGTTATTAAATTTTTCGTTTAAATTAATCTCATAAATATTTTATTAACTGATATGATAATACATTTAAGACATAGAGGTAAAAATTTGATAAATAATTATACAATTAAAAAAAATTATTATATTAAGTATAAATTAAAAATTTAAAGAATCACACATTAGAATCTTCGAATTGTATCGATTCCAAATTTGGCCAATCCAACCATATCTCTGAAAAAAAGGATTTTGATTGGTGAAAATATTATTAATCGATCTTAGACATAGACATAGGAATATTTCGATTTATGATCTAGATTAATTATACCTTTTTATTGAAAATTGAAAACAATTATCTTTTTCAAGTTTAACTATTATTCATATCTACCAAGTTAACGTATTTATATAGATGAATAGGCATTACTATACTTTTTCTTTTGTACAATTATTTTTTGAAAATTTTTATGTAGAAAAATATAACTATTTCCATTTAAATTATGTTAAAGGTCATTATTGTCTTGCGAACTTTAAAAAAGAATATTTAAAATACAATCTATTCTATAAAGAAATATAGTTAAAAAAATAAGTATAAATTATTAGAAAAAGTATAAGATATTAACTAACAAATTAGAGTAACAATAATTTAAAAATTTATAAATAAAAAATGAAAATATTAATAAAAATAAGTATATTATATAAATTTATTGTTAACGAAATTATTTAAATTAATTTGGGACGAATGTTATTTATTATTTTTTTTTTTATCCTTTTATTTGGTTAACTTTTTCCATTTTTTCTTTTATAAATTTTTCTTATGTACCTTTATTTAAAACTAAAACAAAAACATATACTATAATTTATCCATAAAGTGTAATTTTATGTTAAAAATAGAAATTAAATGCAAAGTTTTATAAGAAGCAATATTAATATAACAAAATTTAAAAAAAATTTTTTTAAATTTAAAATTTAAAAAATTTTAACTAAAATTATTAATTTAAATTTTAAAAAATAATTAAGTAATGTAATTTTTCTTAAATTTGTTTATAATTTTAAAATTTATAAAATGAATTTTAAAAATATATCAATATTAGCTCACCTCTTCGAACTCCTGTAGAATTGAGAAGAATGTTGCTCATGTATAAAGAGAAAACAATTTCTCTTTATATCGTTGCTCTTCGAAAATTCGAACTGATAACGAAGTGTTCTAAAATATGACATAATATAGATTTTCAATGTTAATGGTGATTTTATAACGCAACTTTAACGTCATCGAAATTTCTATTTTAATATATAAAACAAAATTGCTTATCTTTATACATAGATGAAACGCTTCTCAAATCTACAAAAATTCGAAGAAACCTAAATTTTGATATGTTTTAACAAATTTAAAAATTATAAAACTTTAAATAAATTTAATAATTATTAATTATTAATTATTTCAAAATTTCAAATTATAACAAAGTTAAAATTTTTAAATATATATTAAAAATTTAAAAAAAATTTTTTTGGTAAATTTTGTTGATATTAATATTCTATATAATAAAATTTCACATTTTTTACTCTTGGTAAAATAAATTACAATTTATGCGATTTATTATAAAAACAATTTTAATTTTGGTTTTAAAACACGAATCTACAAGAAAAAAGCATAAAATAAAAAAATTAATAATTAACAAATATCAATTATTCTAGTTAAAATAATATAAAAGATTATAATAATTAAATTTAAAAATATCTCTTACAATTATTATTGTCTAATACTTATTTATACAAATATTCTGCATTTTTTATTTATAAATTTGTAAATTTTTTTCAGAGATAGACAATTTTAATTTAAAATTTATGTTTTAACCACAAAATATACAAATACAAATATAATAATTTCTTACAAATAATAAGATTTTATATTTACAGTCCCTTTTCTCTTTCGTAATTACTTTATTCTTTTATACAATTTAAAATGCTAAGATCCTGAATTACACTTAAAAGTTTTAATAACTTTATTTTTTAATACAATATTTAAATTGAAATGCGAAGACTTAAAAAAGAAAAAAAAAAAAAAAAATTTAAGAAAGAAAGAAGAAGAAAAATTAAAAAAAAGAAAAAATATTTATTTAAATAAGAAAAGAAAAGATATTAAAATAATAAGGCTCCTATATTAGGAGTCCTAATATTAAATATAACTCGGAATATAAATATGGAGCCGTACGCGGATGTTGGTGCGTCGATTCCAACGAAAAGTCCAACATCCGCGTACGGCTCCATAGCCTTTTAATATTACGAGTTATATTTATATGTATTAATAAATTTACTTTTTTGTATATGTTTATATATTTATATATATTTTATGCTTAAAGTTTCAAAATTAAAGAAGACAAAGAAAGAAAGAGAAAGAAGAAAAAATTCAATACAAAGTAAAAAGACGACAAAAAAATAGGAATAAAAAGCAAAAAAGATATAAAAAAAAGAAAAAAAAAGAAAAGAAGAAATAATAGAAAGAAAGGTATACATATATTACAAAAATATTTATTAATATTAATGTGTATATTTAATAAAAGATTTTCTAATACGATTTTCTACAAAAATGTTAAGATTGCATTAATTTCTGAATTATAAACAATAAAAATTTACTAATAACATAATTATATTAATATTTAATATTTTCTTTTTTAGCAATTCAACGGGATCATAAACTAAATGGAAAATAAGCTAGACATAATATTAAATTAAATTTTATTTTTATTTATTCAATTATTTAATTATTTAATTATTTAATTAAAATTAACCTTAATTTGAATAAATTGAAATTGATTTTTACTTGATTGAAATTGATTTTATTTTACTTTTTGAAATTGACCTTGACTTGTATTGAAATTAATCTTGACTTGGATTGAAATTGGCTTTGAATTGGATTGAAATTGTTGACTTGGATTAAAATTGGCATTAATTTGGATTGAAATTGACTTCATCTTGGATTAAAATTGACTTTGAATTGGATTGAAATTGGCTTTGACTTTAATTGAAATTGGCTTTGAATTGGATTGAAATTTGTTTTGAATTGGATTAAAATTGACTTTGACTTTGATTGAAATTGGCTTTGACTTAGATTAAAATTGGCTTTGACTTTGATTGAAATTGACTTTGACTTGAATTGAAATTTGCATTGACTTGAATTGAAATTGGCTTTGACTTGAATTGAAATTAGCATTAATTTTGATTAAAATTGACTTTGACTTATATTGAAATTGACTTCAACTTGAATTATATTTAGCATTGAATTAAAATTGACTTTGATCTAAATTATTGAATTAAAATTATTTTTTATTAAATTGTTGAATTAAAATTATTTTCAATTGAATTATTAAATTATTAAATTAAATAAATATTAAATTAAAAAAATAAAAAAAAATTTATTATTATTTTTATATATTTTTAATTGAAATTATTTAAATAATAATTATGCCTAAAAGAAAAATTGTTCGATCAATTGAAGAAGAAGAAGAATATCAACGTAATAAACGAGAAAAAAGGGCAGAACAGCAAGCTAAAAGACGAGAAGGAAAGCAAATATCTAAAAAAAATGTAATAATATATTCAGTAAATGAAATAGATATCACTCAAGCAAGTACATCTCAAGCAAATCCATCAACTATTACAAATGTTATTAATGTAATAAAAAATAATAATGAAGTAAATGCAATAAATGATGGTATAGAATTATTTAATATTAATAAAAGTATTAATATAACTAGAAATAATATGAATTTATTAACTAGAAATGTTTATAACTTAAATATAGAAACTCCATTAAATAGCAATGCTATTTTTTCAATACCTAGCACATCAAATATATTAATAAATGATAATAGGATTGAAAATTGTATTAATTCACAGAAAGTACCATTACAAAATATTATAATAGATAATAGAGTAGAAAAATCAAAAGCAATGTCTACTAATATAATTAATATAAGTAAACAAAACAGTTGGAATGAAAAAAATCGAGCTTTAAAAAAAGGATACACGAACATTAATATGCCTCATATTATTCAATTAGAAAATATTGTAGAACATTATATAGGAGAAATGAATATATATTGCGATCATTGCGGTGCAAAACATTTTAATTCTGAAAAAATAGCTAATAAAGGTAATTCATTTAACGATTGTTGCAGCCATGGGACTGTTGAATTAAATTCTTTACCTCAACCTCCATATGAACTTTATGAATTATTTACTGGAAATCATCCAAAATCAAACCATTTTTATAATCGTATTCGTGGTTACAATAACACATTTTCATTCGCATCGTTTAATGCAAACCTATCAGATTTCAGTGCGCAAAGACGTGGACCTTATTGTTTTAAAATTCAAGGACAAATTTATTATCAAATTAATACTGCATTGTATCCTTTACCTAACGAAATGCCAAATTATGGTCAACTTTTTATCGTAGATAATAATGAAGCGACAGAATGTCGTTTACATCGAAATTCAAATCTTGATAAAGAAATTTTACAATCAATAGATAATATAATGCGTACAAATAATATTTTTGCACAATCGTATCGAATGATGCATGAAGAAATTCAAATGCAACAGCAAACATCTGATAACAATATACGTGAATTACAATTAGGATTTTTAACTAAAAAGGGCATCGATCGTGGCCGATACAATGTACAAAAGATAAATGAAGTTGCAGCTGTTTTTTCTACTACAGCAGATGGTGAAATTCCTGAAACCTATGTAACAATTTATAATAAAAATACTAAAACATTAAAACAAGTTAGTACAATGGATCCAAATGTAGAACCATGGATTTATCCATTGTATTACCCATACGGTAGTCAAGGTTGGCACGATAATTTACAACGTAAAGATAGTAATAAACGAGTAAGTAGAGCTGCATACGTAAAATATCGAATAGCTATACGTGATAATTTTAATGTTTTCATTATGGGAAGACGGTTATTTCAGCAATGGCTGGTAGATAGTTATATAAAAATTGAAAAAGACCGAATTAATTATTGTAAACAGAATCAAAAACAATTGCGAGCTGAAACTTATCAAGGATTAATTGATTATTTAGCAAATACCGCCAATAATAACGATGCTCACATTGGAAAAATGATTATACTTCCATCGACATTTGTGGGTTCACCGCGTAATATGTTGCAACATTATCAAGATGCGATGGCTATTGTTCGGAAATATGGAAAACCGGATATCTTTATTACTATGACTTGTAATCCAAATTGGCGCGAAATTAAAGAAAATTTACTTCCAAATCAACAACCTGCAGATAGGCCAGATATATGTGCTCGGGTATTTAATATAAAAAAAAATTATTTAATCGATGTTATCGTTAGACAAAAATTTTTTGGTGAAGTTTTAGCATACGTTTATGTAATAGAATTTCAAAAACGTGGATTACCACATATACATTTATTGATTACATTAAAACAGAATTGTAAGATATCAAATTCTGAAATAGTTGATAAATTTATTTCTGCAGAAATTCCTGATCCTAATGAAAATGAAAGTTTACATAATGTTGTAATGAAACATATGATTCATGGGCCATGTGGAAATTGGTGTTTGATAAATGATAAATGTTCGAAACATTTTCCAAAACCATTTCGACCTGAAACAACTATGGATGAAGATGGTTATCCACAATATCGTCGAAGAAATAATGGATTGCTGTACGAAAGACCTAGACGATATGTTGTTGATAATCGATACGTTGTTCCATTTAATCCAACGCTCTTACTTTTATTTAATAGTCATATTAATGTTGAAATAGTATCAAGTATACAATCTGTGAAATATTTATATAAATATATTTATAAAGGCCATGATGCTGCATCTGTAGTTATTGGAGAAAATATAGATAAAACAATAAACCATGATGAAATCCAAGATTTTATCGAAGCTCGATATGTCGGGCCCGTGGAAGCATGTTGGCGTATCTTAAGCAAACCTTTGCAAGAAAAAAGTCACGCTATATTTCGTTTACCGGTTCATTTACCAAATGAACATAATGTTATAATAGATGATAATATTAATAATGATGCGATAAGATTTGCTGTAGAACGAGTAACAATGTTATTAGATTATTTTCAGTTAAATGCTCGAGATGAGGAAGCAAAACAATATTTATATAGTGATATTCCATCTCATTATGTATTTAAAAAAGTTATAATTAACGGCAGAACTATTAATCGTTGGGTGAAACGTCAAAGATATTTCAATTGTATTGGTCGTATGTATTCCGTTAGCCCATCTCAAATAGAATTGTTTCATTTACGTATACTTTTACTACATGTTAAAGGAGCTACAAGTTTTCAAGAATTAAAAACAGTTAATAACGAGATACATCAAACTTTTACTGCTGCATGTTTAGCATTAGGACTCATAGAAGATGATGAAGAATGGTATCGTGCAATGAATGAAGCAAAAGTTTGGATGATGCCAAGACGACTTCGTAATTTATTCGTACGAATTTTGATTCATTGTCAACCAGTTCATCCAAAAAAGTTGTGGGATGAGTTTAAAAAAGATATGTCGGAAGATTATACAAGACAATTTGGACCTACAATAGGAATAAAGAAAGTTTATAATTATATTATTAATTTACTTCAAAAGGAAGGATCAAATATTGCTAATTTTCCTGAAATTGAACAAGAAATAGAAGAACACGAAATAAACGACGAAGAACAAATTGAAGAAGATACATCGATAGGTATGCGACAATATGAACAATTAAATACAGAACAAAAAGAAATTGTTGATGCTATTTTAATAGCAACAAGTAACAATAATGATAACTGTTTTTATATTGATGGTCCAGGTGGATCTGGTAAAACTTTCATTTATACAACCTTGTATTATCTACTTAAAAGTAGAGGAAAAATAATTAATACGATGGCGTTTACCGGTATTGCTGCAACATTACTTCCAAATGGGAAAACAATACACAAAGTTTTTGGATTACCTGTACCTCTTTTCGCTGATTCTACATCAAACATTAAAGTTCAATCTAAAGAGGCTGAAAATTTAAAACTTGTAGATGTTTTTATTATAGACGAAGCTCCTATGGCACCACGCTATGTATTAGAAATAATGGATCGAACATTACGCGACATAATGCAAAATGATTTACATTTTGGTGGTAAAATCGTTCTTCTTGGTGGAGATTTTAGACAATTATTACCTGTAAAAGAAAGAGCTACGCGTTGTGAAATTATAAATTTATCAATAAAATTTAGTATTCTATGGAAGTATTTTAAAATATTTTCATTGACACAAAATATGAGAACTTTACCACAGGAAAAAGAATTTGCACAATTTTTACTAAATTTAGGTAATGGTTCTTTAAATGATCATTTAGATAATATTCATATTCCAGAAAAATGTATAGCAAACGCAAATTCGGATATGGTTAAAGACATGTACGGAGACATTATAAAATGTAAAAAATATAAAACTATGGCTAATTACGTTATATTATCTCCAAGAAATGTCGATGTTAATGAAATAAATGAAAAAGTAGTAAGTTTATTGGATGAAACGACAGAAAGAGTTTATACAAGTATAGATACTTTTGAAACTGGAGATAATCAAGATATATATGAAACAATTCCGATAGAATATCTCAACTCTTTAAATCCAACGTGTCTTCCACCTCATGAATTACGCTTAAGAAAATACACTATTGTCATGCTTATTAGAAATCTTAGCATGAGCGAAGGTTTATGCAATGGTACCAGATTACTGATTCTAGATTTAAATAATAACTTATTACGCTGTGAAATTTTAACAGATAATAAAACTGGAGAAATAGTTTTTCTTAATCGTATTACTTTATATTGTGAAAATATATATCCGTTTACTTTCAAAAGAAGACAATTTCCAGTAAAATTGGCATTCGCTATGACAATAAATAAATCACAAGGGCAAACTTTCGATAAGATTGCAATAGATCTTCGAAAAGATATTTTTAATCACGGACAACTATATGTCGCATTTTCACGAGTTCGTTCTTGGGATTCGTTGAAAGTTCATTTAAGGGATGATAATCTATCTACAAAAATTAAAAACTATGTTTACAAAGAAATACTTGATTAATAAAATAACAAACGAATGAGTGATACATGATTATATTATAATGATATCAAAAAATGACATTGAAAATAAAAATTGATTAAATTAAATTTAATAAAATTTATTTTTATATAATAATTATTTTTTTATCGTTTTATTATATTATTTAAGTAATAATAAGAAATAGATTGTAATTCATTTAGTTAATAAATTAAATATTTAGTTAATTAATTAATTATTATTTAAAGATGGCGCGCGCGTTAGCGCGCGCTGCGTGCTAGTCCCTTTCCAAAAAGTGCATGTTATGTATTCTCGCAATATCTCGAATGTATTGTTGCCTTTTTATCGTGATGCCGATTGGTTGTTGGTTGTCGAGCATTTCGTGCGCTATGACTTGATTCACTCGTATCCTCGTATGTTGGTTATACGATATGACTGTCAAACTGTCATACTGATAAACTGTCATACTGATAATTAATATGAAAGAAATTAAATAACACAAGCGCGCGCTGAACAATTCTATTACAATTTCCTATTGTAACAAAGGTAAGGTAATTGTAGCAATGCAAGTATAATTAAATATAATATAATATAATATAAATATAATATAGTAACCTATTTATAATATAGTAACCTATTATAATATAGTAACCTATTTAAATTATAATAAATTATATAATAAATTATATTGTATATAATAGAAAGAAAGAAAGTGACGGAGATTAATCGAGAGAAATAAAGAAAGGAAAAAGGACCATAGAAAAGAAAAAGAAAGAGAAAGAAGAGAAAAGAGGATTCGTAAAAAATAAAGAAAGATAAAAACAGAAGGAAGGAAGAAGGAAATATACAATATTAGGTAAATAAATTTATTTTTTATAAATTTAATAAGTGTATATATATATAAATATAAATATATACATATATATATATATATATATATATACATATATTTATATAGGGCATATCACACATAAATCAATCACTTTTTTATTTGCTTTATTTTTTTTATGTTTTTGCATTTATTGAAAGTTGTTTCCATGATTTGAAAATATTTAGACATTCTTGAATAGTAGTATTTTGCAATTTCATACCACCGTAACGATCATATCAATTTTAATCTAATTTATTTTTTTCCCTCAATGAGACCCCTTCGATTATTTTCTAAAAAATTGATAACATTTGCGACTTAAATACAAAATTTTTGAGCCATAAACAAAGAGGGGATTCAAATAATTTCAACTTTTTAACACCATTTTTTGAAATTTTTTTTTTCGACAATTACATTCCTTAATTTTTTATATTACTCCAATAAAACAGAAAAAGTTTACAAAGATAATAATTATATAGTTTAAAATGTTAGTAGTCGAAAAATAATTTTAATATTATTTATAACTATTTTTTTGCTATTTTGCTCGAAATAATGTTTGTTAATTTATTAGACGACTCGTATCGAAAGAAAAACTTTGCAAATAAAAGACTTTAATTAAATATAATACATTTTATTAAAAATTATAACAAAGAAAAAGAAAATAATTAAAAAATAAATTATTTTAATAAATTATTTAAATTATTAAAAAATAAATGTTATGTTATAATTTTTAATAAAATAAGAGCCAAATCGCGGATGATAGTGCATTTATTTCCTTAGGGGGGAACAGAGGATGTATTGAATTAAATCTCTTGTAGAGATTATTCCAATTTTAAATCTTGGCCGTGACCAAGTAAAATTTGGTGCTTTGTGCACAAGTATTTAATTCTAACGAAAAAATTTAGTTTCGTTGGGATAACGTACTGTCATCCGCGATTTGACTCTTATTGCCTGTCTTACACTTTAAATTTATGTTTTATTTAATTAATGTCTTTTATTTGCAAAGTTTTTTTTCGATACCAGTCGTCTAAGAAATTAATAAACATTATTTTTTAGCAAAATAGCAAAAAAATAGTTTTAAATAATATTAGAATTTTTTCTCGATTATTAATACTTTAAAATAAGTAATTATTATCTTTGTAAACTTTTTCTTTTTTATTTTAGTAATGTAAAAAATTAAAGAATGTGATTTTAGGAAAAAAATTGCAAAAAATGGCGTTAAAAAATCAAAGTTATTTAAATCCCCTTTTTACTTATGACTTAAAAATTTTGTATTTAAGTCTCAAATGTTATCAATTTAAAAAAAAAATCGAAAGGATCTCATTAAGGGAAAAAAAATAATAAAATTGTTTTGAAATACATAATTCAAGTATGAATAGAAAGAAAAATCTAAAAAAAAATCATGGAAATTAATTTTGGAAACTACTTTTAATAAGTGCAAAAATATTTAAAAAATGAAGCAAATAAAAAATGTTTATGGAAAAAAGTGGTCTATTTGTGTGGTATGGAATGCCCCATATACATATATATACATATATATACATATATATATATATGTATATATGTTAATTTATAGTTTATAAATTATATATATAACAGAGAAAGAAAAAAAGTGACGGAGAATAATTAAAAGAAAGAGAGAAAGGAAAAAGAAGATTAGTGTATATGAAAACTTTCTAGGTAAACTATAATTTAATGAAAAATAATGTTTCATTTAAAAAATTGAAAGTAATTTTTATATAATCTTTAAATGAATTAATCACATTGTCTTACGTCCCCCTCAAAGATAAAACTTATACAAAATATTTTTTCTTAAAATGTTTTATTTTTAAGATAAGCAATTGCATTTTTAAAAATAATAGATCTAAAATAATAACCTGTATATATAAAATTAATATGTATAATATGTAAACGTTTTTATTTACAGTTAAAACGAACGAAATATAAGAAAAATATAAGAAAGAGAAGGAAAGAAAAATAGAGAAGAAGAAAGAAAACAAAGAATATATAAATAAAAAGGAACTAAAAGAAAAATAAAAAAATATTATAATTATAATTAATAAATATTATTAATAATATTATATCTATATATATATTTTTAGTATAAATTATTTCATGATTTACTGTTATTTAATAGTTACTTAATAGTTTAATATATGTTATTTAATTAATTATTTAACATGTTATTTAATATTATTTAACTTAACTTAATTTAATTTAATTTATTTATTAATAATTTAATTTAATTTAATTTATTTATTAATTAATTTAATTTAATTTAATTTAATTTGATTAATTAATTTTAATTTAATTTAATTTAATTTGATTAATTTATTTTTATTTAATTTAACTTAAAACATATAAACTAATTAATATTTATTAATTAATATCGCCTATTAATATATAATTATATTATAATATAATATATTTATACTGTACATTAATATAAATTTGTATTTATAATTATTTATAAATAAATAATGATGACAATGATGACAATGATGATAATGATGATGATGATGATAACAATGATGACAATGATAATAATGATTATAATGATAATGATGATGATGATTATGATTATGATGATAATAATGATGACAATAATGATGATAATGATAATCTTGATTATAATATTGATTTTAATTTTTGTATAAAAACTTTAAAGTTCACAAATTAATATTTAATAATTTAAAAGATTGAATTTTAATAGCTTATTCAAATTTTAATAATCAATCTATAATATTATTTTAATATATTTAATATATTTAATAAATTTTTGTTTATTTTTGCATTAAAAATTTCAAAAATTAAACTTTTTTAAATACCTAACTTATAAATTTTATTATTAATTTCTCTTTAATTATTATTAAATATTTAAGTAAATGTATTTTCTTATTTTAATTAGCATATAATATATTAATCTGTGTGTTCGGTATATATATATATTTATATTTTTAAACTTTATAAAATAATTAAATTTTAATAAGTTTACGATCAATTTATAAATTAATAATTTTGTTTAGATTTCAATAATATATATACTTTTCACTTTTTTAAATCGTATAACATTATATTGTGAAAATGTATATCCTTTTACTTTTTCTAGAAGACAATTTCCGATAAAATTAGCTTTTGCTATGACAATTAATAAATCACAAGGACAGACATTTGAAAAAATCGGATTAGATCTTCGTAAAGATGTATTTAATCATGGACAACTTTATGTTGCCTTTTCACGAGTTCGTTCTTGACAAGCATTAAAAGTTTACAATGGGAATCAACGAGATAATAAATACGTTAAAAATTATGTATATAAAGAAATATATATCTAGCTTTATTGTTTTTTAATATATATATATAATAAAAATAATTTATGTGTTAAAATGATTATAGTAATTTAATTTGTAATTTAATTTGTAATTTTTAAACTGATTATAAAATAATTAAATATATTCTATAATATCAAAAGTGTGTGAA